ATTTCTCTCTCTCTCTCTCTCTTCTCTCTCTCTCTCTCTCTTTCTCTCTCTCTCTCTCTCTTTTCTCTTTCTCTCTCTCTCTCTCTCTTTTGTAAACATCGGTATTCTGTGAAAATATTAATTAGGAAGCACACTTTGTAACTGGCCAATGTTTATACGTTTTATTTATTTTTTTTATTTTTTTTTGTAATATTACAATTATAGAAAAACAAAAAAACATTTGAAATAAAGCTAGATAGAATCGTCATTTATTTTTGCAACAGTTTCGTTATAATAATGAAAGAAAATAGGAAATACACTATTAATGATATGTAAATTACATCAGTCGGTTTGAGGATTAGTAATACAGAAATTACGAAATACATAAGGAAGAGGAAAGAAAGAAAAGAAGTGTAGGATGAAGTATATAGTAAACAGTTTCGACAGTTAGACATTTAACCAACTCTTATTTTTCGCCAAATGGGCATTTCCCTAAATACGTTTTTTCGTAGGCGGGCATCTCCCTTCTCGCATTTTTCATTTCAAGGCGAGTGGTTACTTCCTTACTTCGAAAGTATTTTATAGAGCACATTTGGCCCAATCCGGTATTAATGCTAAATGTTGCTCTCTTAATTTCATATTGCTGTTAACTTGTTTTCACCGTTTTGGATCTGAAAAAAGTTTGTTAACCGCTACCAGCTTTCTCCCGGAACTGATATGATATTCATATTTCATTCATCTCGTCAGTTCTTGTTTTACTCCACGGTATCAAGGAGTCATAATCTGACTTCTTACTTGGCAATGCTGCAGTATCCAATTCTCTCACAGTGCCTATGTAATCTACCTCATTCCCGGCAATACAATCCGCAACGAAGCTTATCATCACCAGCAGAGGAAGGCGCACACTTAATCTATGAAGCAGAGGACTGACGTGAATGTTAATATTTTCTTTGATAATTTATTGTTATCACAGCAGATATAATAATAGTAGATTCTCGACAAACGATTGCAGGCTTCTAATAAGTTTACCGAGGCAAGCTAATGGGGAGCCGCTACACAGGAAGACATACCCCATCCGCTATCTGATCGCTATAGCATTACGTTTTCAGAAAATGACAGACCCTTCAGTAGGTACGGCAACAAATCGAAGTATTCGTGACTTTTGGTGTTTGCCAGCGACGACGAGACAGAGTTCCTGACTGTTGCCAGTGGCTTATGGACGCGACTCACTCCACTGCTCCAGACAGTTCGCGCTCCTTTTCCGGTCGGGTACTGCTTGCAAAGACTCACGTCTCTGCAGCTTATGCCCCAGTACCAAGGAAAGAGCAGAGTCATTATGAAGAGCTTTTTTCTCTTTCTTTTTTAACCGCTCTAATTTATACGTATCTGAAAAGGGACGTGCGTCGTCTCCCAGAGAGAATCATTGCATTTACAATGCAATCAAGAATGTACTCAGCCCAAAAGTTCACAAACAGGTCTGTGAATGTGCATCATATTTTGTCTTCATGCTTCAAATCTAAGCTTATTTCAAAAGTATCATTGTCTCATGCCGCCAGAGATTAATGTACATACGTATGTACGTACATCACTAGGGCATGAGACAATGGACGCATGTACAAGCGTTCTGATGAATGGCCGGATGCATTTCCGTAGGACACCCTCCTGGCTTCCACCGCCCACCTGGATGGAAGGGACCACCAACGCTTACGAGCAGCGGAACAACAGGTTCTCCTACCTGCTCGGACACAGCCATCAATCGCTTTGGGCGGCCACTGACTGCCTGCTGAGGGACAACGTGACCTTGGAAGCCGACGTGTACAGGCATGCCATAGGGTATGTTTTGTCAAGGCGGCGGATAAGAGCAACTTTAAGATAACAGAGTCAACTAAGAAGACTCTGCAAGGACCTGGTTTTTGAGAAGAGGACTATGGACCAGTTTCTATATTCTCGTTGCATTCTACTCACGAACTGATCATAAATAATACATAAGGAAATAAAGATTATTAATAATTTCCTTGTTCTCCTTTCACTAAAACCGTAACGAAATAGAAGAAAAAACAATCAATCTAATTTTAAAAAACTCAATGCACAGGCGACCGAACTGCCACTCAGACCCGAGACACTAGAAAAAATAGAGGGAGACTTACTTTATTTTCGATTTTACCTTTTTCTTTTGTGGTCTTTTGCGCTATATTTTATCGCATCGTGAGGTGGTGGAACACGAGACGTTGATATAAGTTGTATTCTATCAATTTGGATACTTTATTTTAACTATAATATGAATGGTGAAACATTTTCAGACTTGGAGATGAAGCATACGAGAATTGCGAACTTTCGTTGTCTCATTTTCAATAAATTTTGTTTGTTTTTTATACCCGGAATATTACTTTTTATTGTGCATGGCTTTGGTTTTATTTACTTAGGCTTTACCTTAGTTTTATATTTGCGTTGAGTTCAAGAGGGTTTATTGTTCTTTCTTTTATTTCAACTTGAATATTGTTTTAACCCAATGGTGCCGGGGAAAATGAAAAAAAAATGGGGAAAATATTGTGCCCACTTTCTATGTTTTTCGTGAAATGTCTGCCGATAGATGGCTCTGCTACGGCCTGATTTGAAATGGCGGGAAAAACGTATTTTTCACTAGTGCTATGAAAATCGATGGTGTTATTTTTATCATAAACATTATAATTTTTATAATGTTTTTTAACATTAGTAACAGCAAAATAAGATAACGTAAAATATTTCGTAAATCAAAGAAACGGGTAAACGGGCGAGACGGGCTGTGCTCGTAGTTAGCTCATTGGTGATTTAGTACAAGTGTTGCCATCTATGCGTAACAACAATCAAACAAGTACTCACAGTGGGCATAGCACTTACGTACACGTCATACCCGGCACCAAGGGGTTAAATCTAATTCTGCCGCTTTTTTCGCTTTTTTTTTTACAATTTACGTGAACGAAGGCCAAATGAGAGACATTTTGGTCATTTCTTATTAATCCGACGCTACAGATGGATATCTTTCAAACCAAAATCAAGTAAAGAAAGGAGTCGTATACACCACTTCAGGTCATTTTCATTAAACAAAGACGAGATGAATATTAATATTAATATCCGTAAACTTATAACTAAATTCTTCTCAACCGAATAGCGAACCAAATGCTACAAGATGCTTAGCTGTAACATAAAAAAGCATTGCCCTAAGATAGAGTAAATCTCTCCACTAATGAAACATACCAGACACCATCCATTGAAAATTAGTTGTACAGTATCTTTGCCTTACAAATCAGGGTTAGCCCTCGGAATTTCATCTCTGCAACTGCACAACACGATAGCAATGAAAATGTTTTGAGGAGGGAAAGAAAAGCCCGTCTTACACGGAACGCAATCTCAAAAGCTTGAGCTAAAACTGCAATATTGTTGACTATACTGCATTCAATCTTGGGATAAAATTGGAAGTCACCCTTGACCTTAAATATCAACTTTGATAATACGAAACAATAAACATTTTTAAGTTCTAAGTGACGAAATAGAGTACTCTAGTGCTTGCCTTTTTTTTTTCTTCTTTTTTTCCTTTTATTGAATTGGACACAATATACTCATAATTGGCAAAAATATGATACCCCGCTATCATATAAATCTCAAATATTTATCAAGCAAAGACGGATAAAAATCAGTATAGTACACCAGGCTAGAAATTAGTCATGATAGTGTCCTTGTTGGCAAATAAAGCCATATCCCCGTCCAATAATTACCCGAATGAACCGTAATAAAAAAAAAAAAAAAATCACTTTCCGTGCGGCCTTAGACATTGATTTTTTATTCTCAGGCTAAAGGAAATTTGTTAAAAGAGTTTTAGAGGCTGCCATGTAGCTCTTAAGAAAAACAAAAACAAAACAAAAAAATCACCTGTAAGTGCATGAAAGTATCAGGCAAACCTGTGAACACCCCACAAGCAAAATCTATAGTTATGCCCACCATCTCGACACAAGCCCGCCTAAATATCTACCCACATCATTTAACAGTAAAGCATCTCATTCTTACCTGCAGTGTTCATTGTTGCCGCACAGCTTATCAATAGGATAGGCGAATTTCCCACAATTTTTCCTACAGAAACCACCGCTGTATGTGCATTGGTTATGGGTGTCACGACTGCAGTCTGAGGGAACAAAGATTTCTGTGGTGTTGGTCATGCTTATGAATTCTAAAACTTATAGTCATATACAAACTTGCATACAGTTTAAATGTCTTTATATATATATATATATATATATATATATATATATATATATATATATATATTTATATATATATATATATATATATATATATATATATATATATATATACACACACACACACACACACACACACACACACACACATATATACATATATACGTATACATATATACACATATACATATATACACATACATACATTTACATATATACGTATACATATATACACATATACATATATACACATACATACATATACATATATATACATATACATTTATATATATACATATATACATATATATATATACATATATATACATATACAATATATACATATATACATATACCTATATATGCATATACATATGTATACATATTTATACATATGTATACATATATATACATATGTATACATATATATACATATGTATACATATATATACATATGTATACATATATATACATATGTATACATATATACATATGTATACATATACATATGTATACATATATACATATACGTATGTATACATGCCCGTTTTCCTCTCCCACACATTGATTTGAAACCCAGCATCAGAAGTCTTCGTGATAAATGGAGGGAACAATGGAGGCATACCGCTAGAAATAAACAACGAGAGATTAGAGATGACCTTGGCAGTTGGGAGACCAGCATCCATCGCAACCGACAAGTGGAAGTTGTATTAACAAGGCTCAGAATTGGGCACACAAGAATGACTCATGGGCCGATGATGGCTAAAAGTGAAGCACGCTGTGAGGAATGCCAAGAGCCATTAACGGTCGCACATATAGTGGAAAGATGTGTAACATTCTCAGACCAAAGACGAAGGTACTTGTCTCCCCCATATACACTGGAACATGTATTGGGGGAGGATTGTGACATAGAAGGTCTTATTAGTTTCCTTGGGGAAACTAATATTTTCAATAAAGTTTAATTATGCATAATGTTTATGCAATAGTTTTTAAACATTTAGAGTATAATGTTTATGCTTTGATTTTTTTATATAATATTTATTGTTATTCATAACATATATTGATAGATTTTTAACGTTTTAAATATTTTAATATTTCTAACAAGGTATTCGCCGCTGATGACCTTAGCTGTTGACGCGGCAGATAATTTTGAATAATCAGTCAATCAACCTACTACTGGTAGCTCCACAGTGATAGTCACCATCTCCAGGGAGTAGCCATAGCCATTTCCAACAGACTTCAGGCCTTGGCAGTGGAGGTCAATCTGGTTAATGAGCATATAATGGTATAGAGATTGAAGCTTACATTTGCCTTAATGTCTGATGTTGCTGTGTACACTCCTACTGATGTTTGTAAACTCGATGTGGAAGAGATGTTTTACACTAAACTTGCATCTGTGACAGATACAAGGTCTGTTGGTTGAACTCCTAGCCCTCCTCGTAGGCAACTGCAGTCTGCTCAGCAAGTGGCTAGATCATATCAGATACTGTTGGGATGCAGGAGTGTTTGGCTGAGTATTCTGAGTATTTTGTACCATGTTGTAGGTAGAGTCAAGATTCCTTAGCCAGACCCACCCATCAGCGAAGCCCACCCTCCCTGACTGAAGTCAGGGAGATGACCTCCAAGCTGAAGAGTGGTAAAGCAGCATGTATTTGCAGCATCCAAGCTGCACTGCTAAAGGCTGGTGAAGAACCTGTGGCAAGGGGCTTGCATATTGTTTTGTCTGCCTTCTGGATGACTGAGGGGTGTGAAAGAGAAAAGAGGATCGGTGGGACTGCAGCAATTACTGAGGCATTACTGCTTAGTATACCAGGTAAGGTTCTCGCTCACATCCTTCTGAGATGTGACAGACCACCTGCTGAGGTACCAGAAGCCAGAGCAATTTGAATTCACTCCTGGTAAGTCCACAATAGACCGTATCCTGTTGCTTTGAGTCATTGTAGAGAGCCGTGTGGATTGCTTACACCAACCTTAAGAAGGTGTTTGATACGGGGCATGGAGAATCACTTTGGGAGATCCTGAGGCTAAGAAAAATTCCGAAAAGGATTATTAGATTTAAAGCAAGACTGTATACTGGTACTGTAAGTGCTGTAAAGTGTGGTGGGGGCCTGTTCAACTTCTTCCCTGTTAGCTCAAGAGTGAGGCAAGGCTGTGTTCTTGCACCAACAATTTTCTACACTTATATGGACTGGATACTGGGTAGAGCTACAGTCCAAAGTCACTGTGGAGCAACTCTGGGCAATATCAAGTTTATCGACCTTAAATTTGTTGATGATGTTGCTATTCTATCTGAGTCTCTGGAAACATAGTGGTAGCTCTTGATACATTTAGCAATGAAGTGAAGCCCCTGTGTATACATATATATACATATATACACATATCTATACACATATGCATACAGATAGATAGACAAACAGAGAGACAGTCAAACATCAACAGAGCAACAACATTTTTTTCCACTTATTTTTTAGAGGAACATAGCCATGGCATCATACAGAAAGTCAGGCATTTAATCTAAAAAATGCAGGCATACTTACTAAGATTATATTACATTTTGTTTTCAGAACTGCCTTCCCTGAACATTCTAATTAACTAGAGAGCTCTGAAAAGTACAAGTCACAGAATATGAACAAGAATGAAGCCTACGAACCTACGCAACAGCTACAGCCTTCTCCACTGCAGACATTGCTCAGGATGGCGTCGCATTTACACTTGTCTTGCCACGCCAGCTTGCATGTTCCAAAGTATTGATTTTGGCAAATATTGCTGTGTAAAAAGAAAGAATTTATATATATATATATTTATATATATATATATATATATATATATAAATATACATTCGCACAAACACATATATTTACATGTATTGGGCCATGATTAGAGTCAGATGACTTTATCTAGAACATTTGTTAAACAAAATAAATAAATAAACATTGAATGGCTTGCTGCTGTACATTTGTATGGCCCTTATGCTTTTAAAGCCCCTCCCACCCAGCAAGAACGGCAGGCTGTGGGTCCCTCTGGGTTGGCGACCGCTGGGACTCGGGTGGGGAGGGGGGGTTACCCATCATCCCATCTGGGTCCCAGCGGCCGCCAGCCTGGCGTGATGCTTGTGGGGGAAAGCCCCCGGGAGCCCTGCAGGTGGATTAGGGGACCTGCAGCCAGCCAACCTCTGTATGGGGCGGCGTCGGTGGGGGTGGCAGAGGTGGCGCCCACCCGGAGTGACTGCCAGAGGGTAGACCTCAGGCGGGCTATCAGGGTGGGGGCTTGGAACGTCCGTTCCCTGCGACAGGATGATTGGTTACCACTACTGTCGAGGGAATTGAAACAGCTGAGAGTTGAGGTGGTTGCTCTCTCGGAGGTGAGAAGATCTGGCAGCAGCACGATTAGTGTGGGTGGCTACACTTACTACTGGTCGGGCCGCAGCGATGGCCACCATCTCGTGGGAGTAGCCATAGCCATCTCCAGCCGATTTAAACCCTCGGTAGTAGAGGTCACTCCAGTCGATGAGCGTATAATGGTATTGAGACTGAAGCTGTCATTTGGCTTCATGTCACTTATTGCTGTGTATGCTCCTACAGATGTATATAAACTTGAGGTGAAAGAGATGTTCTACGCCAAACTTGCATCTGTGGCAGACAGTTGTCATCGCCGAGATGTTCGTATTGTTCTGGGCGACTTCAATGCGGTATCCGGATGTGATCGAGCTGGCTACGAGATGTCTGTCGGTCCCCATGGCTCAGGAGCTGATGCTGGCAGCGAGAATAGCCTCCTTTTCCGTGACTTTGCTAGGTCCCAGAAATTGAGGATCTCTGGCTCCTGGTATCAGCGTTCTGACCTGCATCGCTGGGCTTGGTACAGTGATACGGGTAGGGTGGCCAAGGAGATCGACCACATCCTCGTTAGCACTCGGTGGAGGATCCTCCAGAACTGCAGGGTGTATCGGAGCGCCGAGTTCTGTGGAACTGATCATAGACTAGTTGTGGCTACTCTCCGGGTCCACTTTAGAACCCCCTGTCGACCAAATGAACACCCCAGGGTGTTTCATCTAGACAGACTGAGGGAGGATGAGTGTGCCCGGGGGTTTGCTGAGGCTATCTCTGGTCGTCTTACAGCACTCGAGGGCTTGACAGACCCTGTTGTTATGTGGGATTCCTTCAAGCGTGAAACGCTTGATGCAGCTCAGGAATCCATTGGTGTACGCCCAAGAGCAAGACAGAATTCCATCTCGCAGGAGACACTAGAAGCCACAGAAGCTTGTCGTGCGGCTCGATTGTCAGGGGATCGCAATTTGCACCGTTCTCTGGCGCGCAGGACTAGGTCACTGCTGAGAAGGGATAAGGAACAGTTTATCAGTAATCTTGCAGAGGAGGTTGAAAGCCATTTCTTAGTAAATGACCTTCGTCCTGCCTACCAAGCTCTGAGAAAGCTGAACTCCAAGCCCTCCTCACAGACGACGGCAGTCCGCTCAGCAAGTGGCCAGGTAATCTCAGATCCTGATGGGGTGCGTGTGCGTTGGGCTAAGTACTTTGAGCAGCTGTATCAGGTTGATCCACCAACAGTTAACTTGGATGCTGGTAATGTTGAGACTCCTCTGCCAGACCCACCCATCAGCGAGGATCCACCCACCCTGACTGAAGTCAAGGGTGCGATCTCCAAGCTGAAGAGTGGTAAAGCAGCAGGTGTCTGTGGCATCCCAGCTGAATTGTTAAAGGCTGGTGGAGAACCTATGGCAAGGGGCTTGCATGCAGTCCTGTCTGCCATCTGGCAGACCGGTACCATTCCCCCCGACCTGCTGAGGGGTGTGGTCATCCCTCTCTGGAAGGGGAAAGGGGATCGGTGGGACTGCAGCAATCACCGAGGCATTACACTGCTCAGTGTACCAGGCAAGGTACTCGCCCACATCTTACTGAGACGTATCAGAGACCACCTCCTGAGGCACCAAAGACCGGAGCAATCTGGGTTCACTCCTGGTAAGTCCACAATAGACCGTATCCTGGCGCTTCGAGTCATTGTAGAGCGCCGTCGTGAGTTCTGACGTGGGCTGCTCGCAGCCTACATCGACCTCAAGAAGGCGTTTGATACGGTGCATCGCGAATCACTCTGGGAGATCCTGTGACAAAGAGGAATTCTAACAAGGATTGTTGGGCTAATAGCAAACCTGTATACAGGCACTGAAAGTGCTGTAAAGTGTGGTGGGGGCCTGTCGAGCTTCTTTCCTGTTAGTTCAGGTGTGAGGCAAAGCTGTGTTCTTGCACCAACACTTTTCAACACTTGCATAGATTGGATACTGGGTAGTGCTACTGTCCAAAGTCACTGTGGAGCAACTCTGGGCAATATCAAGGTTACAGACCTTGACTTTGCTGATGATGTTGCCATTCTTTCTGAATCTCTGGAAACCCTAGTGGCGGCTCTTGATGCATTTAGCAATGAAGCGAACCCCCTGGGGCTAGAGGTCTCCTGGACCAAGACCAAGATCCAGGATTTTGGGGGCCTACTAGGAGATCCTGTGCAGTCGGTATGTGCTTGCGGTGAAAACATCGAAGTCACAAGGAGTTTTATATACCTCGGTAGTGCAGTTCATGACTCTGGGCTGTCAGACCAGGATGTCAGTAGACGGATTGGCCTGGCAGCAGGGGTCATGAAATCTCTCGACAAGAGTATTTGGAGATGCCGGTACCTGTGCAGAAGGACCAAGCTACGAGTTTTCAAGGCCCTGATACTGCCAGTTTTACTATATGGTAGTGAAACTTGGATGCTATCTTGTGCTTTGGAATCTCGTCTTGATG